TATAATATTGCGCGTTTTTTGCACAATTCTACTTTTATACATAAACCGGTGAATTTTATATTAAAAATGATATAATTTATATTAATGACTGAATGTCGAAAAATGAAGTCTAAGATTTAAATAATAAAATAATGTTTGTTGATGTGAATTTTTAAATTTTTACTATTTTAATAATTGAAAAAAAATTAAAATAACCATTTACTTAATATTATTATTTTTATAAAAATGGATGTCACTGTATTATACAATACCATTGAATTATACAATAAATAAAAGTCTTTGTTGTTCAACATTTTCTATTAATATACATAATCTTATATTCTATATTATATATAAAACTTAAAAAAAATATTTCTTAAATTGTATCACAGGGAGGTGCAAGTGATTGATGTAATTTTGTTACTGCTGTTTGTACTATTTGTTGAAATGTTTCATCTTCTTTGCTGGTTACTTCCAAATTTAATAGATCTATATGAGCTTTTTTCCCATCAACTGTTACATATAATTTTTCTCCTTTAAAGATCTTAGGAACAGAGTCCTCACCAAACATTTCTTGTAACATCTCTATCAAACATTCCTTAAAATGCATTCGATCCATTTTTGTAGGTGCCGGTAATACTTTAGGTGGCTGTTCCATCATCTCAGCTTGTAATATTGCTGTCAAAACAGAATCTGCATACATATCATTTACAGGTGTTGCAATCCACTCCATAGTAACAATTTTTCCATCAATCGTGACATCAATATTTTTAAAAACACGTAATTTTTTATCATCAACAACTTCTAAATTTCCAGCAATTTGAGTTAGAAGATGTTTTAATACTGGTAATGATGCCGAAAAATAGATACTTTGTCTCTGAATAACTTGACTCATACTCATGTCCGTATATTTTGACAAGTCGCAAGGTGCTAACATATGATAGTTGAAATTTCTCTTCACTAAAACTCCAGATAATGTTTGTCCTGGTTTCGGTGTGTCCATTGCTAATGTGCCCATTACTTTGGCAGTTTTCTCCCCTCTAAAATATAATTCTACAGCGACAGTATTTCTTGGATTGTGTATCTCCATTGTTGTATTAGGATCATCTTCATATTCTCTTTGTAACGCTGCTTTTAATCTACCCATTTCATTTTGTTCTCCGTGTACAAGTACAACATGTGGAGGTTTCAAAATACGTATAAATTCTGAAGTTTGTTGATAGTCTGTATGTGCTGAAAACGATATATAGTCAACAGACATTTTTAAGGGCAACTTTTGTCCAGACATGGTTGTGATTTCTTCAGGTTCTGATAAAATAGTCTTTGCCAATGTTCCCTCTACGCAATAACCAGCAATTATAACCCCATTTTTTGCATCGGTACACCAAGATTCAAATAATTCCCTTGATAGCCCACTTTGCATCATACCAGGAGAAGCCATTACTACACATGGTCCGATATCTTCAAAATGATCAATTCCTTTTAAATTAGAAATATGTTTAAATACAAAAGGATTGTTAATAGCAATTTGCCTTCTAATTTTATCATTCATTGCATTTACATAAGTTTGATAAACAGCCATACACTTCTTTGCTAAAGAAGAAGCATAATAAATGGGAATTTCATGAAGTTCAGGATGCTGACTCCAATATTCATCCAAAATGAGGAGAAGCTCTTGCGCTCTACCTAATGCAAACACTGGTATCAAGCATCTTCCTCCTCTATTAACAATTTCATGAACCAAATTTGTAAATCTTCCTTCACGATCTTCTCTTTTTTCATGTATATGTGTACCATAAGTGGATTCAGTAATTAAAACATCTGGATGGATATTTGGAATTTCAGCAGCCATCAAATGCCTATCTTCTTGTCGACTAAAATCCCCAGTATATAAAATTTTAACACCTGCTATTTCAATCATAAACATAGCAGCACCCAACACATGGCCAGCATTGTAGGCCCAGAATTTTATTCCAAAAACGTCTTTCTCTTCGTGAAAATTAATAGTTTCTATTTTATCCATACTAGTTTCTAAATCAGATTCGGTATATAACATTTGCTCTGTTGCAATGTTGCTAACTTTAATGTAGTCGGACAAGAGCCAACGATAAATAGCTTTAGTGGCATGCGTCATGAAACATCGTCCCTTGAAACTTGTCTTTTGCAAGAACCATGGCAACGCTCCGCAATGGTCCAAATGAAAGTGAGAAATTAATAATAAATCAATTTCGTCTGCTTCTACTAAATCCACAAATGGTAATGCATCCATACCAGATAAACCTGGGTGGATACCACAATCTAACATAATCTTTTTGCCTTTAAATTCTAACATGATGCATGATCTTCCAACTTCTTGACCAGCTCCAAGTGGTCTAATTGATAATAAGTCACTTTCTTCGGCTGGCACTTGAGTTTCTGGTTTCTTTTTTGTTGAC